CAGGAGTGGAGGGATGCCAAAAAGTAGGGGCAGCACTTCATCTGATTTGCAAGCCTTGTGAAGGCAGATTTGTTTGTAAATGGGTGGGGGCAAGTCTACTGGCCTAATGTACATGGTGACACAGCAACGTTGACAGTGGGTCATGTCATATGTTCCTGCACTCCAGTCTGTTCTGTGCCAAAACAAAACAATGACATGGACTTTCCTAGATTTTGGAACTGTGTAGCAAATAATATATCCCAGTTTTTCTAACCTAGGGCTCTCAACAACTCCCTTTTCCCCAGCAGTCCAACATATCTAAAGGGCATGAGGTTGAGGAAGGCCGACTGAGCCAAAAGACCAGTCACTTACCATGCACGGTTACTCTTTTGCCTTCTTACAGTTGGGACGGGGAGAAGCAGCAAAGCAAGCTAATGCAAGCCAGTAAGGCTCCTTGAACCCAAACACAGTATTCAGCCACAAAAGGTTCTCCACCCTCTTTCTTGTGGCAGGATTCTCTGCAAGATCCACCTAGAAACTTGACATGATTCCATTTGCTGTGTATAGAGAGACTGGTTTCATGATATCAGGTGGCGGAATCCAAAGCAGTTCTTCTGAGGTCTTTGTCTGGCAAAGGGAGAAACTAAACCAGAAACAAAAGGAACTATTCTTACTCCTCCCAGCCTCTCTGTTTTGTGAATCACTGGCTTCCAAAACAATCCTGTTAGGTAAGATCACGGAAAAAACAAACAAGAAGGACAATTGGACCAAAGACCAACGATGCACAAGAACGTTACAGTGTAGGCAGGCAGGAGACCTGGGTGGCTCTCACTTTTGCAGTCAACAGGATGGAGTTTCTAAAACTGAACAGAGAGTAGCAAAGCACCTATTTAGAATGAAGAGGTTTCTCCCTCCATAATGAATCCTTGCAAATACTTCAGAATGGAAAGGGCACTGAAGGCATGCCAAGGAAAACCTTCCAAAGCAGATCTAAGAATACCTGCTCAATCATCACCATAGTGTGCAGAAGTATGTATGTTCATCATGATTACGAATTGCAGTCTTCATCACCTCCTACTCGGATAGGATGACTGTGCAAAAATAGCTTCATCTCTCCCATCAGTGACTCTACTCAACCTTTTGGAATCAAATGGTCCAATTTGCTAATTTCTTTTGGTTTGTTTGTTTAAAAAAACACCACTGGGTTGCTGTGACATGGGAACTGGACCAATGAGTCATAACTATTAACACACTGAACAATCTTCTCCAAAACTCAAAGGTGCATGAAGGCAGCAATAGTGTAAACAGCAACTGCTCAGGAAATCGCAGATAACAGGAATGTCAACACTGCACGCTACCCAAAGCTGAAATAGTCAAAGGCCAAAACCCGAATTTCTGGGCATTACTGCGCAAAGTCCCCTAACCCAGCAAATTCCAGGTGGGGAAGGCTGGGTGGGAATGTTGAGAATTGCAGTCCTATTCACCTTCAGAGTGTCAGCTTGGGTGTAGGTTGGTCTGTTTAACAAACAACAATAGCTACATTGGAAGCAAGGTTGTTTGAGTGCTTTTAAAGAGGAATTAGCATTTCATTTCAATATTCTGTGGGGTTTTGTGCAATATTCTGTTTCTTTTTCATTTTTAAATCACTTTCTAATTCAGCCTCATGATTTTCAAAAGATTTTTAGTACTCCAGTTTTAAAAATTGTGTTATACAGCAATCCTATTGCCTTTAGACAGCAACTAGAGGGCAAAGGATCATTCAGACTCAGAGAGCCAAGGCTGGAAAAGAGCTCTGGCCTCAGATCTAGTGATCTGTATTTGAATACCCTTCCCTCTCACAGTCAGTGTAGAAAAAGCACACCAGCTGCTTCTCCAGAGTCGTAAGTGTGACCTTAGAAAACAGGTTTAGGAGCCATTCCAGGGGATGAAGCTGGCATCACCAAGATACAACCCATATTGGCAACAACTCCATGTGAGTCTTTCTCTCCCACTCCAGTTAGATGGCCCAAATCAGCCAGCTTAGCTGGTCTGCAAAGCAGGAGGACAGCAAAGGTGATCTTTACCTGCACATTGCTCCCACCTTACATAGGATGACCATAGTGCCTCTGGACTGCACCTTTATTGCATTTTTAGAATTTAGAACTTTTATCTTATTTGGTTTTATCTTATGTTTTACTAAGTCATTGTATTTTATGGTTGTAAGCTTTGTTATGTAAACCTCCTAGAGAGTGTCAGCTAATGGATGGTATAGAAATGTAACAAAATGTTTTGGAAGTCCATGAGTCAGTGGGCAGTGCCAATGGGCTCTCAAGTGAGATTTCCAAAATGAACAGGGTGAGGCAGGCCTTCAGGGACTTGCCATTTTTTCCTGTTTTTATCCAGCAGCATAAACTCTCTTGCTGGAAAAATTACAGAATAAGCCACACAAAATAATAAAACTTGGGCAATTTGAAAATTTATGCAGGCTACAGAATTCAGTTGTTCTTAGCACAGAACTTTGTAACTCCACTTTTTAAAACAAGACTCAGTTTGCACGGTTGAGCAGAATACAACTTCCTTCACAGGTAGATTGTAAAAGTCTGCACTATAATGAGGATAGTTTTTGGATAGGGCTGTGCTATGGTTTTCATAGTATTCATCTTGATACATGATGAACTTGTAGCAACACAAACTTTTCAAATGGTAATTCTGAATTAACATCCTATTTTGAATTGTCAGTTTCTAAAAAAAGTCTATCATTTTGTTTGACCTTTGGATCAACCATAGTGCATAAAAGACTACTGTTTATACATACGTTTTGCTGAAACTTATGTATAATTACTAGAAAAATGTACTTTTATATATATGCATTTTATGTTTTATTGACATTTGTCTATATATTTTTTCCTCTTCTTTCTTATTTTGCAGAAATTTCACAATACAAATATGAAAGTTTTTTTAATGTACGTTTCAAATTATAATATGCTTGAATTACCCTCAACATCCAAATTACCCTGCAAAGTTGTATTAATGATAGTGGACCAATAGTGCGGAACATCAATGCTTTACTTATTTTCTGCGATGCCCCAACTTTCTTGGCCAGCAAGATGAACATAAAAATAAGACAGTGCTCCACACAAGCCTTTTCTGCCCATAAAATCATCACAGGAATGCACTGATTTCCAGAACTCCCAACACCACAGGCTTCCACCCAGGTCAAGAGAGGACAACTCCAACATGCGTGGGTGGGGAGGAAAGATCGGAAAGGGCTGGCCTTGGTGACGTCTCAATGTCATATGCAAATCACGAAGACGTCACGGCAGGAGTCCAATCCCAGGCAGCCAATCGGATCAGACACCAACCTTTAATCTTAATCCGTTGGCGAAGAAACAACAAAAGAGGCAAAGACAAGGGAAGGCTAAGAAGAGAAAATGACTAATGGGAGCGACTGTTTTTACCCCGAGATCTATAAAATAGGATGCCTGTTTGTCTCCGTTTCAGCCACAAGCCTGCTCTTTGTTCCCCTTTTCCCTACATGCTGACCCTCCTCCATGCAGCTGATCAAGCGGGCTCTGGGTCGCCAAAGCTGCTTATGCCACAGACCCATACATCTCTTTTTACAGTCCCAACGCCCTTGCTTGTTTCCCGACCCAGTTTCAGCATGGCTACAGGTTAGATCTCCACTGAAGAAGGCTCGCTGTGTTGGTGCAGATGCTTGCTTTCCCGACCCTCTGCCGCATCCCGATCCACAAGTCCGCTCACACCTTCTATTTTCATACACAGAAGTGGCCTCGTAAATGACTACGGTTCCCTTGCAAATATTCCCACAAGGGAGAAATCTTAACCTGTCCCCGCTCAAACAGGGCAGAAAATCAAGCCCAAAGGAGGGGGTAGTGGGAGGCGAAGAATGCAACCAATCAAGTCCGCATTGTGCTTTATGAACCCATCTTGCATCCAGACGTAGCGGTAGCTGGCAGGATTGCGGCGGGTAACTAACTACTCTTCATTGCTACAGCGCGCCTCTCAAGGAAACAGCTGAACGAAAAAGCGGCGGCTGCGTCCAGCCCCTCCCCCGGCCTGATCTGCAGTTAATAATGATGAACATTTTCCATTCGCCACTGCCTGTGATGACCTCAATGAGCCACGCTCCGCACAAACAAGGGGATGTATTTTGCCTTCTCCTTTCCTTCCTTTCCTGCTTCTTCGCCTCCCCACCTCCCGTGCATTATGAATATTTATTTTCACAATTCTGGTGTTGCTGGTGCCGTTACCGGTCGCCAGAAAGAAGTCAAGACAAAAGGCTCTTTCTGCATTTCAAGCAAAGAGTCGATTACAATCGAATCGAGCCCGGCGCATTATTTCTGGCGATCTCTTAAGAGGCTTTTGTTTCATACCAAAGCCCTTCACAAACAGAACGATAGTTACTTTTTTATGGCTATACAAGTGTTTACATTAGAAGACCGGGTTTTAAACTGGGGCATTGTATTCTCATAACGCTACGCTTACACACGCATTCATTTGCAAGTCAGAAAAGAGGGCGATTCTTGGTAGTTTAAACAAATCTAGAATGCCCGTGAATCCATCCTTGTAGCTCCAGTAGCGAAGGCACTGTTGTTTCTAAACTCAAAATAAAGATCTTTCCTTTCTGGGGTGTGTGTGTGTTCTCCTATCCCGAAAGAATGTCTTCCTATCTCCCTGCCAACCAGAAGTCGAAATCGGTACGCGTCCATAACAACATATCCAGAAATATACAGCGATGCACTGAACCTCATAGAGAATGCAAAATACAAAGAGAGGTTTAAAATAACACACCAGACGGGGAACCGATATCAAAGCTGAATGCCACATGCCAGTGAAAAACAAACACGTCCTGCAAGCAAAGAGAAGGGCTCTTCAAACGTCAACAGTAAATACAGAGAAACAAAAACACTCTGTGGGACACGGAGTGTTTTCTTTCGACACAAAGAGATTATGGTTTCCAAGTTTGAAAATATACCAGCTGCACTGGATGAGGCGGGAGGAGGGGGGGAAGCAACACTTACCTTGCCTTTAATGTCATCAAATGTTTTGTAAACAACGCCACACGTACACACACACGAAAAAACCACAAGGTTTTTTATTTTAAAAAAAAGCACCAGCTTGAGGCAGAGTCCGTGAGGTAGTTTTAATTGAAATCAACCAAGCTCAATACGAGAAATGATTATTAAAAAAAAAAAAAACCCTCCGAAAAAGATGCAGGGAGACGAGGTGATGTAAATGGTGTCTCTGATCTTCTCAGAAGATATGCACCATTCAAACTGCATGCAACTGCCCTCGCGTCCAGATGCCTTTCCTCCCCTCGGCTGTAGTCTTAATATTATGAATTTTCGGTTATTGCTGAATCCCCAGTTGATCTCGGCTAAGAAATTAGAACGTTCAAACAGCTGATTGTGGCGTCACAAAGGGGCCCGCCCGCTGCCGGAGCTGCCGTCGCTCGCAACAGCCAATGAGAAGCAGCCAACGGCTGGAAGGCGGAGCTTTTGGAGCAGCAGCGGGGGGAGGCTTTAGCGCTCCACGTGAGCCCTGGACCCGTGGAGGGCTTGCGAGGTGGCTGTGGCAGCTGGTTTTGGTGTCTCCGGGCGCAGTCGCGGGGACGATGGGATTTGCTAGCGGGAGGCGAAGAAAAGGGAACACGGACATATTCCTTTCCAGAGAAGCAATAGGGGCAGATGGGATGAAGGGTTTCTCCCTGTTTCTCCAATCCTCTAGTCTTAGTAGATAGGGATAAAAAAAATCCCTCCTCCTCTTTGCAAAGTCTTCCAGAAGGGATTTTTTCAAAATAAAAGCTGTTGTTGCAGGACTGAGAAGTTTGCGTTGTGGAATTGACGCGTTCTGAGCACAATCCTGTGCCTGCTTGGACAGAAGAAAAGGCCTGCAGCTCTCAGCAAGCCCCAGCCATCCATTCTGGAAATTACAGGCTTTTTTCTGTCTAAACAGGAACAGGATCATACCTTTAATGAAATGCAGCATCCTTTTCTAACCTGGCAGCTTCTAGATATGTTGGGTTACATCTCCCATCAGTCCCAGCCATACTAGCTAGGAATGCTGGGAGTTGTCCAAACACATCTAGAGGTTGCTGGGTTTATTTATTTATCTATCAGAAGCTTTTCTAACCCATCCACTACTAGCATCTCGGGACAGCTTACAAAAAATAAGACCCCTGAAGTAAAGGAGCAGCCTTGTGTTTTGACATATACCCTGCGTGTAGCAGTAACATTCTGAAAGAGACTCGTGCACTGGATGCACAGGTGCTGCTCTTGGGTATCTTTGAGCAGTAATTGAACTGATGCAGCTCATGTTTCTTGTAGTTCTTTGCCCTTCTTTGGCTCCTGCTGTTTAGACATGCCTTTCCCGCCACCCATTTACAATGTGCATTGATGGAAGATCTGCTGATGGAAGATCATTTTTGCAAATACGAGGGAAATGGACTTTAGTCCACCAGATCTTGCCATATAATTAATTTGTTCATCTTAAGATGGCACAAGACAGTTTACAGGGCTGATTGGTTGACTCTATGATGTCATAAGGACACTTCTTCATGTTCTGAAGCTGGTTTTTTTTCCTTTTAAAGGTTGGAATAAGCATTCTTAAAATGAATACATGCAGGCACTTAAGTTTTTACATTAATGATCAGCAATCCATATGACATGGTGAAAGGAGGAGCAAGATGATTGAATGAATTAGCTGTCATGTTGGCATTCAAAGGGCAGGAGGTAGTTGGCAAATATATGCTGCAGTTCCTGTTTTTCTGTATGCATGGAAAGCATGCCCTCTAAGTTAACACGTGAAGCACTGTACTCACAATCTGCCACAACTGGGGCCTCAGAGAGGGCAGATGCACAGCTTGTAGCCATAATCCTGAAAAGGGGAAGCCAAAACTTCATATTGCAAAATAAATAATAAAATAAATAATTTGTTTCTCTTTTAAACGAGGTAGAGAGAGGGAACTGGGCATGCTTCCAGATGGAGGGCTCTAGTAATAACACTCAAAAGGCATTGACTGGGTTCAGACAACACAATAACCCACACTTATGGGTTAAGTATGGGCTGAGAATTGGTGGTTGTACCATATTGAAACATGGGTTATTGCGTTTTTCAAACTCAGATGTACTAATTGCCTTGGCTTGTAAACCATGAGCAACCTATGAAGAGAACCAATGGTTTGTTCTTGGGTTGTGAACTGTGGGTTCACCATGGTTTCTTATCTTGGCTCGTTTCAAACAACACAATAATGCATATTTCAGTGCCAACCCCTGATTCAATGGCATCCTTTATTTATCCCAGACTCAGCCCATAAGTGTGGGCTATCTTGTCACCTGAAGGGATCATTGTATATCTGTTCTGTCCTTTCCCCCTTAACTGGTTTTTTCTTTATAAGATGAAAGACTGAAGAAACTGTAGTTGGTTGGACCTCCCATAACATTGCTTGAATGAAGCAGTGCATAGCAAATGCATCATCTGAGGTATCCTAGGTAAATGGTGTGAGATTTACAAGTATTTCTCTTGCACAGTAGAAATTTAGTAGAAATCCTTTACTGTAACCTTGCTGATCCGAAACCATTGTGCCTATGTCATGCACCTTATCAACATGTTGAAACAGAAAAAGTCCTGTGTCTTCACCTCAAAATTTTAACAAATTGTGGTATAAGCAATGTCCTCTGAACCACAAGACTAATTTAGTCTTTAAGAGACTACAAGGTTGTATTGTTCTTGTTGTATCTGTGTAATAGGATTCAGATGTTAGTTGCTGCCCCCATCTCAGGAGGAAGTTGTCTTCCTATAACAGCATGACAGAGTTTCAGCTAAAAGCAGCTGAGGAGCAAGGAGCTGGCGGAAGAGATAAAAAAGAACTTGAACTAGCCTGGTTAAAAAGACAATGAAAAAGGAGATAAATCTGCCCTTGCCTCAGAGATTCCTCCCCCACTCCAGTGCCTTCCTGAAATGTTTGACTGCAACTCGACTGCATTTCCAGCAGCATGTGGAGCTTTCCAGCTTAGGGTGCCAAACTAGGCATGTCCAGACAGAAAACGCCCTACAGCTCCTAACATATCCTAACCAACAATCCTGGCTAGAGGGCTTTCTGTGGGAAGGAAGGAGGAGGAGGAAATGGCAGGAAAACATGGGTGTGTTGCAAATGGAAGATACCATCTGGCCCCCTCCTAAAATTCCATGAGCCAAGGGAGGATGAGGACCTGTCAAAAGCTTTGTCTGGAAGCATTCCAACTCTTCAGCCCAGCAACTTTTAATACATCATTCCGAGCCAGCTTTAACAGCCTGTGGCCATTGACACGAGAGCAGTAGAAATCCTGGATCCTGTTTGGTGTGCATGTTGACACTCTGAGAAACTAAGCACCCCACCCTCTGCACATTAAATTTAAGATCCCTCTAAGTTGCAATGGAAAATAAATTTGAGAGGGGTAGTTTTCTACAAAAGCATATAAGGCAATGAAATAATTTAAATTGTCTCAGGGCAAGTCCACTCTGGGTTCCCATAACAGAGGGAATGGGCATCCCATGCAGGATGGGAGGAGCACAGAGTTAATGGTTGCCTCCACAGTCCTCCTGCCCTGGCAAATAGCTAGACAGCTAGTTTTGGCTGTCCAAGTGCCATGCCTTGGCCAGGAAAGGAAGCTGAGGTATTACCAGAATCTCCAATAATATGGCTGTACTGGTCTCCTCCACTCACTCAACACCTTCTCTGAGGTCACTTTCATGACCCAGCAGAAGCAGCTGGCATGTTCCTTCTAAACGAGCTGTGGAGGGAAGTGGGTGCTTTGAGTAGAAACCCAGCTCCAACCTTGGAGCTATTTTCCGAGGTCAGAGCTAGGACAGCAAATAATCCTATGGCCATCTAGATGCTTTATCTTAATCAGTACATAAATAAGCTAATCTGGCATTTCTTGGGGTCCCATCATTAGAATCCTTGTATGAAATTCATGGACATCGGGAAAAAATAACTGTCCCTGTGTTTATATGGTTGTTGTTGTTGCATGCTATCAAGTCATCTCCCTCCAAAATGTCCTGTCCTTCACAGCCCTGCTCAGCACTTGTAAACTCAAGGCTGTGGCTTTCTTTATGCAATCGATCCATCTCATTACACGTCTTCCTCTCCATTGTTAAATTATGCTGCTTTGCTTTACTCTTTCATAACATATTTTAATCACAGAATCTTGTTTAAAAGCTGTTAAGCATTACACCTCTCTCCTGCCGCTACTGAAATAATAACAATAGCAACAACTGAAGTCAAAATATTAATCACACAAAAAGCAGCCCAACGAAACCAGAAATTCTAGACTCAGTAAAACATGTGGCAGTCTGCAGTCAATAGTGTCATGCTGTCTTTGTCTCTGTGTACTCTGTGTGTTCTCTGCTATAGGAAACTCAGTAAATACTTTGCAGTTTTGTTCTTTGCTTCTGAGATGCAAAGATGCTAAATCTCTTGGCAAGCACTGACATTCGAACCAAAGCTGAGCAAGACTTTCAACTGCCCTCATGGGACTGGGTGATGGCATCCCACCAGGGACTGAATCTGTGCTCTGAAGCCCCACAGTATACGACTGGAGGGATTTGGGAGTGCCTTCATACTAGAAAAAGCATGGAAGAGTTGGCAAACGCACCCTCTGTTGCCTAAGCACTGCCTGAGTTCACTGCTTATATGGCCTTCATGGTTGGGTCAGTCCTAGTTGTGAAAGGCGAGACGGCGAGCTTCGGTATAAAGCAATTTCCTCTGCTTCATCTTCATGAGGAGCGGTTATAGCTTAGGGACAGAGCACCTGCTTTGCATGCAGAAGATCCTAAGTTCAATCCCTGATATCTTTAGGTAGGGCTAGGAAAGAATCTTGCCTGAAACACCTGAGAGATCCTGCCAGCCAGTACAGAAAATACTGCACCAAAAGGGCCCATGGTCTAACTTAGTATAAAGCAAATTCCTATGTTCCTATCACTGAGGATCTTAATGGGTGCATCATATGATCTAGGTATTATATCCCAACATCCAGTGTAATATTACCAGGCAGCACTGAGGGATGCATGTCTACGGCTTGTATGCTCCTGCTTCATTTAAAAGCCTTACCACCTGAAATTCCAACCCAGTTTGCTTGTAGAATCATATTCTTTCCTTGCTTTTCACCATTACTGCAGGAGCAATACAAGTGCTCTTTCTGAGAGCTTGAAATGTCAAGGATTCCGAAGGGCACGATGCTAGCTATGCAACTAACACTTGTGCAGTAACCCTGCGCTGAATGTTCATCATGTTGATGGGCAGACCTGGGTGAATCTTGCAAACCAAGTTCCAAATTTTGCTGAAAATGAAAGATGAATTCTGTGCCTGGAAGAGATCAGGCAAACTGGATAACACAAAGGATGGAAGTGGTAAGAAAAAAGGAAGAAGCTGT